TTAATGACCTGTGGCTTCTCGAGCTGGAGACTGGATGAGGGATGGGTTGGAGAGGTGGAGTGACGGGATGCACCCAGAGGAGGGATCTCTGCGTAACATAGCTGACATAGACGAAATTCTTGAGTATTTGTGGGCTTCTGCTGCTGCTTCTGCTGCTGCTGCTGCTGGGAGTGTGTGTGTACTAGCAAAATGGAAAAAAAAAACTAAAAACTGTGTGTCATTCGAGAATGTTACACAAACCCAATACATGATTGTCATTTGGATAAGTACTAGCTTCATTGCCATCGACCTCCATTTTACAGTCCATTTAGTTCCTATGGAGATGCTCTCAGAGACAAATAATCCCACTGGAATCACATACAAGGCAGTCATGTACATAATGTCTGTTAAGTGTGCATTGCAATTCATCTGACAGCATTATTCTTTGCAGCGGCACTGGCATTGTAATCCCATTTCCAGTTAGTGCCTCCTGCCCCACGCTCATGCATAAGTCAATGTGTGTTTAACATTCAAATCATGCCTTTGGTACGTGGCGTGTCGCACTATAGGAGACAGTTGTTTTTATTTCTGTTGCGGAGCAGTATTCACTTTGAGTTAGCGTGTGATTTTTATTCATGTATGCACGCCGGGCCAAGGCCAAGGCTTTAGCAGCGGTTTGCGTGTGTGAATGAAAAGGGACATTAACGAAGCACCACGGCTGCTGCTGTCTCTGCTGCACGTCAGGAGACGAGCAGAACAGGGTCAAAAGGCTGAGCGGGGATCCGGGATCGTGCAAACCTAATGTGTGTGTGTGTGTGGATGGATGGATGAAGGGGTGACAGTAAAGTTCTAAATTTGCTCGTTGCATGTTGAATCCTCTTGTGCACATTTTACATGGTAAAGACATGCAGCAACATATGCACACATGAATACATGCACACACACACACACAAAGTGACCCACCTGGTTCCTCCTACCGGCTTAGCGGCAGTATTAATGTCGCTGCAGGGACGGAGAGGGCTGAGTGACAAGGGGATGCAGAGTGTTTATTAAAAAATGGCACGCGTATTGTGCGAGAGATTAGCCACAGATCTGACTGTAGTACATCGTGTCAGTCTTGTTACTTAGTGCTTAATGCAATTTTCTCTAATGCCGAGGGAGATGTAGTTCTGTTATATACATATATATAAAAAAAATAATAACACACCATTACAGGAAAAAGTATTTTCTGAAATCTATTAGCATTTAAAAGAGCCCTCAACTACATAATTGCATCTTCACTCGAGGTTCATTTACTTGAGGTTTCTATATGTTTTTAATTTTTCACCAGTCAAGTCTTATTCAGTCGAAGGTCTTTATAAGCTTCTGCTGGGGTGGTATTATATTTGTTCTGAAATCCCCGGCTTAAATTCCTAAATCCTTCTGTTACAGTGAATCTGGCGTTGTGTGCACAGTCTGGAAAGTATGGCAAATGGAGGAACATTAGAATTTGAAAGTCAAACATTGTTTAGTTTGAGACAAACAGAACTCTGTGATTTACTTTCCTGTCAGGATTAGATCTGCAAACCCTGAGTACACACCTCTGCCCCCGTCTCTCTGTTTGAAGTTGACTTTATGGGGATGTGTGATCTGTTCTGCTGTACTGAGAGTCCCTGGAGAACCGGGCCAGAAGATGTAATGAGAGGAGTGGATGAGGTTAGGGAAAGAAGCCAGTCTGTAGGCTGTCGCCCTTGACGTGGATGTGTGTTTGAAAATACTGACAGAAAAAAAACGAGAACTATTTTCTCCTAAGCAGCTACTTTCAAGTCTCAAGGAAGGACTCAATCTTGCAGTGATACTCGTAGACACGCACTTTAATTAAATGATTTCTGATTTTGACAGCAGGGAAAGTAGTATCTGTGTTTTCTGTATTAAGCCTCTGAACCGTAAAACCTGTCGGCTGGTTTAAAAGATCAATTTTAAAAACATTACTGTAAAAACAAACAATCATCAGTTAACTTTGTGACAGACCTTGAACTACTCGTTTGGTTACATGAAAACGATCCTAATCTCAGCTTAAAATCGGGATGTTTCAAGAAACTCGTCTCACTTAAGAAACCGTTAAAAATAAACAGTTTGCTCAAAAAAAACAAAAAAAATCCTGAGCTTGTTGACACAACCATAAAACCACGGCTAACTCTGCTGTGACCAACAGAATTTCTGGATTTCCCTCTGGGGATTAATAAATCAGTCTAACAGTTGTGTGACTTTTCGGCTAAACTGTAGGCTGTGTTTAATCTAAGTAAATAGGAGACACGTATAAGAACAAATGTAAGTAGTAAAACATCTACTGTATGTAGTGTCACCATTTTGTCACACATGTAGACACTTGGGTAAATGTTGTTCATGTTGATTTCAGGCATCGTCAATCTTTCCAGAATGAATAATCAAGAAAATTCTACGTTTTTACCTTCGTTTTGCTGCGTAGAAGTCATTTTTGAGTTCCCTCTCCTAGCCGTGGTTGTGCTGTTTTCATAAATGCCAAGGACTTTATATTGCTGATTAAAAGGATTCCACAACGAGTAAAAATGTGACAGAAAAAAAAAAAAGAAAAAAAACCTCCCTTCAATTGCTTGGAGTTCAGAGGGTTAAACACAGGAAAGACATTGTGCCTTTGGTTGATGAATGACACTCATACATGTAATGACAGTAAAACTTGATTGACTTTATAACAGCAAAACCCTGACAGTTTAATAAAATCAAAATGGGATTCAAAAGTGATTTTTTTTTCATCTCTCAGTTTTGATTTAATAATTCATCTTTCCAGTCAGTTTTAGATCTCGCTCACTCTTGCCTCCTCTCCTTCCCATCCTCATTTCTTCTTCTTCTTTTTTTTTAATGCCAAGCAGGCTAATGGTCTCTCGACCTTACCAAAAGAGTTCTCCATCATCTGTGGAATTGGTTTTCGAGCCACTGTCATCAGCGTTTTCCTGTCATCTTGTGAAAACAGCAGAATACTCGGCTCCCTCTCTGATCTCTTCCTACTCTAATTACACAACTGTGATTAAACAAGATTTTAGTGCCAAAGACTGTCATGCCTGCACAGTTTCCACGGGCCCTCGGTGAGATATTCAGGAACTTCTCTCAAAACGCTGATGCCGACAGAGACTTTGTTCACAGTCTAAAATATGTATTACCAGCCCTTGCTATGGTTACCTCCCAGATTAGATTTGGATGGAAATGGACACTTCCTCACCTTACATGTGTTTTCATGCATTATTTAAAAAGGATCCTGCAGGGATCCGGTTTCAGTCGCAGTGACATGAAGTGAGATATCATAAATGCAGGAAGCCAGGTGGGCAGACACGCACTCAGAGCAGTACACTCAACGTAACCTTGGTTAAACAAAAACGATAAATGTATTAATTACATTTAGCCATAGTGTAGAATTATAGTAAATCGCTTTTTTTTTTTCCCCCACTCAGGCATATTTAAGAGAAGCGGAATGAGCTTGTGTTGTGTTTTGTTTGTGCTTGTGTTTTTGCATGGCAAAGGTTGGAGGTGCTTTGGATTAACTACTGTTACAAAAAGAACCCTCCCCCCCTCGACACACATACGCACACAGATGCACCACACGCCCGTGTTTTACTTTTCTCTCGCAAAGGGGCAAATCCAGATTACAGAGCCTCTCTAAGTGAAGGAGATCAGAGGAGATTTGTGAAAGAGGGGGAAGGTGCTGCATTTTACTCGCAGTAAGATGCATATGGTTAGATTTCATGTTGTAATACAAATGGCAGGATTTCTGTATGAGGCATGCGTTTCACATATTTATGCTTTCCCCAACAGTAGTATTGATAACAGAGAATCATAGTCGCCTTGAGGGCAAACAGCACAAATGTTGCAGGTCTTATTCGTTGCACATTCTGCAGTGTCCGTGCATTGTGATTTTCAGCGTCCCGGAGTTACCGTGCAGACAGCAGGTCTGAGTGATCCCGAATCAAGAAGAGGGAGGCAGTGACAGTGAGCGCCACGGAGGCATCAAGGACATTTCAGAGGGAGTTGGGCAGCAGTTGCGTGGTGGCTCTGCTGCAAGCATGGGGCCTGGAGGATTAGTGTCCAATCAGAGTGGATTTGATGTTTACTGACAGCACATGGGACTTAGCAGAGAGAACGGTATTTCATTTGTTTTCAATGAAGCTGTGCGCCTTGCCTGGCCTCCCCTCCTCCCCTCGTGCTGTGAATCTGGCAAACTAAGATCTGAAACCTGTTGACGGCAGCACATCATCAACAGCTTCAGGTAGGTGTCTCTGAGGGCGGGGGCAATGGGTTTATAGGGTGGAATCAAAGTCATTACCATCATCATCAACATCATCATCATCATCACCACTATCACCAGATACGCTTGTATCTGGTTCACATGACGTCACAGTAGGAAGTGGAATTAAACAGGCTTTATTTAGATGTAATCCCTCATAGCAATCGGCAGAGCGAGTAAAATGTCCCAGAGAAGGGAGAGATAAACCCTATTGGATTAGTACAAGCCCCTGCCCATCCCAACCTATAACCCAACCTATCCTCTTCTTTCATTTTTTTTCTTTTTTTTTTTGTAAATGAATGTTTGTTGGCCGTGTCAAGCATGCACCCTGTTGCCGTTTCTTCCGTGGAATAACTGTGCTACCTCTGCAGTGTTTGTGTGGTTTGGTGTGATGTGGATGTGTTTGTGTGTGGTGTCCTCTTTCCTCACACACAACAAGCCAGCATGACCAGAGATTAATTATTCAAGGACTGCCAACCAAAACGGGAGTCACCCGATAGCGCGGACTTACAATATTACAACCTGATATCAGGTGAAACGGTAGACGGTGCTTCATCTTCTTTTCTGCTTGCTCTCCTCCTTCCTCTCTTCCTTCTGTTTTTTGACGCTACCGTACATGAAGACTTAAAAGAGGACTTTCAAACAAACTGTAAGGAGCTTAATTCTGTTTTGTGTTGTTGTTGTTTTGTCCTTAACGCTTTTTTAGGCTTTTTTCCCTTTTTTGCCAATGCTTGTCACCAACAAACAGTTGAATCTTGGACGCTCCCACAGTTGGGACACGTTAGGAGGGAATGAGGGTCAGTGGGAGAGGGCTGACAGTGTGTACGAGCAGCAGGCAAGAGTAGCAGGCCGGCGGAGCTCTCTGTCATACGGAGAGGGAGGAGGTTGGTACGAACCTCCACCAGGGGTGCGTCCCCCTGACCTGGATTTGAAACGCGACCCATATTCCTACCAAGACTCTCTCTACGGACAGGTTTACGCAGAGCGACACGACCCACGGGGGCTGAGGAAGGGCTCGGTGCCGGATCTAAACCACTACGAACGAGCGCCCATGGCTCACCGAGGATCCATTCCACCTCAGGATTACTACTCCCATGACCCGGCCATGACTCCTCGGCCACCTGAGGGCTTTTACCGATCTGAACACCAGCCGCCGCCACCTCATCCTCATCCGCTCAGCAGGTCAGGCTCTCATTTTGGGATGGCACCAGGCGCTCGTGCTACATGGGATCAAAGTCAGGCGGGGAGGGCAGTACCTCCACCACCCTCATCGCCTCTACCTCCCCCTCCCCCTCCTCCAACCGCCCATGAGTTGAGTCGGGCTTACAGGGAACCTGGTGCTGTAAATGTTGCCAAGATGATGCAAGATGGCCAACAGCGAATCCCGTCCCGAGACCCATCTCCTTCCCACTATGGTATGGAGCACACATCTCCTCGGTATGCTAGTGAGCCTCCACCTCTGACCGGTCAGCCGGTCTATACTGATGTTAATGGCCGACCGCTTGATCCGCAGCAGCAGGCGGCTACCTGTCTAGTGGTAGATCCAGCCACTCAAGGCATGGTTATGAGGCAAGAGACAGCCTCACCGTACACCATTCAACAACAACAGCAATTACAACAGCAACAGCAAATACAGCAGCAACAGTTACAGCAGCAGCAACAATTGCAACAACAGCAACAACTTCAACAACAACAGATACAACAGCAGCAACTCCAACAGCAACAGTTACAACAGCAGCAGCTTCAGCAACAGCAAATACAACAGCAACAACTTCAGCAACAGCAACTACAACAGCAACAGCTTCAACAACAGCAGTTACAGCAACAGCAACTTCAGCAAGAACAGTTGCAGCTGCAACAGCAACAGCCCCTGCCACCTCCACCTACGATGCCCCTCTCCGACCCGAACGCTATGATGGCGGCTCCACTTCCTGCTCCACCTGCTCCGGTGCAGACAGCAGCAGTTGTCCCAGCTGCACCTGCACCTGTACCTGTACAGGCTGCCCCAACCACTGCCCCACCTCCCCCACCTACTCCACTTCCTGCTCCACTTCCTGCTCCTCCCCCAACTGCCCCACCGACGCCTTTGCCTGTTGACCCCAAGAAGACAGCCGATCCTGAGTTCCTTTCTCTGCTGCGAAATGAGGGCCTTTCTGAGAGCACCATCTCCTCCCTCATCCAGCAGGGTTTTGACTCAACTAGCATGCTGGCTGTAATGGAGGAGAACGATGTCCGCACCGTTGCCCCCAACCTTGGCCAGGCTCGGGTCCTGTCTCGCTTGGTCCACAACTGCAAGCGACCCATTGAGGCCACGCCAGCCCCCTCCCAACCCCAGACACCCATGCGAGGCCGCTCCAATAGCTTCAGCCACCGCTCGGACATCTACCACCAGCAACACCACCACCATCCGCCACACCCTCCACAGGCTTTAGCCGTGGACCCCCAACTAATGCCCCCACCAACACCTGGGGCAATGCAAACCATCTCCCCACGGATGGGAGAAGTAATGAGTAGGAGGCCCAGCAGTGCCCCTTCTCAGCACCTCCTTGAAGCCTCTGGTGGCTACCCAGGCCAACCACCTCGTTCCCCAGGGCCGTACGCTGGAGCCATTATGCCTGTTCAGTCAAGACCAATGTCGGCCTACTCTTCTGGGATGGCGATGCCGGGGGTGCCTATGCAGGGTATGCAGATAATGCCCCAGCAGATGACTGGGTCAATGCCTGCAATACCGGGATCTATTCATTCCATGCCAGGTATGCCACAGCAGATGCCTGTATCCATGCCAGCTTTGCAGCAGCCGCCACAACAGGTACCGAAAGCATACTCTACCAATTACACAGTGCCCATGGAGCTGATGAAGAGGGACAGAAACTTACTGCCATTGTCGCCCATGCATAGCCCTCACCCTAGTCCTCAGCTGATGCGTAAGGGTGGGGGACCTGCATCAGACAATGCCCTCGTCCCTGTGGGAGCGCCTGTTCAAGGCCAAGGTGCCCTGGCTGTAAACCAGAAGCTAAGTCGGCGCACAGGTCCACCAGTCATCGTGTCCACTATGGCGTCTCCAGACACAAGTAAATGCTTTTTTCTTCTTCCATGCTTATCTGCTGTTTGATTTCTTGACTGATTTGGTCTTGCTTACTCTTGGCTGCTTCACATGCTTTTAATAGATAAGGAAGTTTATTTGTGCTTGAGCTCTTCATTTCTTGCCTGGTTTATGTAAGATAGCACTTTCCATTCCTCTCATTGCCTTCAATAGCTTCATGAAGCAGTCTTGCTGCATTAAGAATCATATCATGTTTTTACAATTTGGTTGACATTTTCCAAGAGCCATTCAGTGTAGTGAAAACAACTTGAGTCTTAGGTTGAATCCATTTCTTTGCGCCAAAGAAGGCACTGTGAATCTGTTCTCATCCTTTATGGTGATGAATCATTTGTATGTGAACACCATCTCTGTCAAATAAGGGCTTTTGTGTTTTGCTTTATACTCACATTCTGATCAGGAGTACATTGAAATCTGTGTAGCTCAGAATGCTTACTGGTATGTGATGCATGATACTTGACCTTAAGACAATCCAAACCCAGGGAGAATATTAATAGAGGACTTTCTGAATCGTTTAATCTTTCTAGTCAGTGCTGTCATTTGTTTGCTGTTCTGTGCTGGTGCTCATTATATCAACAGTAGATAAATGATGTGTCTTTTCTTCTTATCTAGGCCAGTCGAAATCCAAATGTTTCTGCCTATCTCCTTTCCAAAACCGTTGTTCAGATTTTGAATTAATACCATAGAAGGATAAGTTTTGCTTTAAACATTCTGGCAATCCATCCCCTGTCCTACTTTCGGGTTTTTTTTGCATTTGTTATGATCCTAAAATGATAGTCATATCTCGCTTTCTCGTCTGCTTATCTCTGAGCGAGCCAGATTTGTCAGAATTCCTTATGCTTTCTGTGAAGTCCTTTATTATTTCAGTAATCTCGTGCAGTTCTTTTGTCAGAATGAGATATCGCCCCATTAAATACAAAACAAAATGGCACTGACGAGAGGCAATATAAAAGATTTGGGAGGAACAGCTGTCAGCACCCTTTCTGATACGTTTTAAATTTTAACAACTGTGCACCGTCTTCATGTTACACTCTGTCATTCGCCGCATTCATGTGTGAACGCTCCACATTACGATTTCTCTGACTAGAAAAGTCAGATGTTGTGCACAGTAGTGTTAACTGTGTGGCAACAGGAGGTATCCAGGCGTGCATCTGTGTTATTTTTTGACGGCGTGCATCTGTGTACAGTATGTGTGATAGAGTTCGCCACAGCCTCCTTGCACGGATATGATTTCTCCTCATGCAGCTCTTGTCAGCTATACGTAATGTCCTTGGTAAGTAATTGGAGCAAAAGCGAAATTGCAGGCCATTATTTAAAATCACTTATATCTGCTGCAACTATATGGAATTCAGGAAGTTGCATAATGGTGATTGCAGCATTAGTCGTATGCGGCTCTTCAGCTGTGGTGTCATTGTAACTGCAGCTGTTTTTGATAAAGTCCTCTGCGCTCTGCCTTGCTCCATCTCCCCACAGCCCCTCAAGCTCCTGTTGTAGTAAACATAGATGTCTTCTTTCATTATGATAATAAGGGTGCTTCAGAGTAGCCTCGAAAAGCTTTATAGCCACCCGGGCCACACAGCATTCCTTTAGTCCTGCTGCTGTCAAGGTGTACCACCGACCTGCACGGAATAGCAATTAGCTTTGTCTAGTTCTTCTCCAACAGATCTGCTCCGAGGCTTTATTCGTCAAACTTTTCTTTATGGTAGCTTTTTTTTTTTTTTTCCTCCAGCTGAAATTTATTTAACACTGATTTGTGTTATTTTAACTCCAGATTAAAATTAAAGTCACTGCATCCTCATTGTGCAGTCACTCGCATTTATTTTGATACCCATATCAGATTAAAGCCTCAGTTCAGCACAATGAGAGCTGCTACCTAAATTCTGTTCTTTTCAATCCCATTGCCTGATAAAAGTCGATTCCAGACATTATGGGCAATAAAGGCTGATTTCTCCATCAACACCAGCTCACTAGAGGCTGACTAGCAGCATAACTGGACAGATAAAATCGAATTACAGTGCTGACGGCTGATGTGTGATTGTGTCATTTTCTCTGTGCAGGTTGTAATGAGAAGATAGAGAGAGGTTTAATCCTTCAGATCCTCCGTTTCCAGTGCTGCACTAATCCATAGATAGTCTCATTCTGCTAAGACCAGCCTCCTGGCTTCCTGTAAAAGACCGTACATAGTCAGTAGGTTGAAATGGACTTGACACTTCCAAGGTGGATCGGGAACAAATGATTTAACCGTGGCAGTTTTGTTGTCGCCTCTGCGATATTTCGGCCCAAGAGAGCAGATATTAAAAGATCTCCATTGCTTGGCTGTCAAAACAGGCTGCTGTTCTTTACACAAACTGACACACGCTTTGGAAAATGGATTTTTTTTTTCCGAGTCTGCCACACACACACATACATCACATTGTTAGTACACACACATTCAGCAGAGTAGACCTTATTTGCATGTGGCTGACATTTGTTGCTTTGGTAATTTCATCTGTTAATGGACACGTCCGCAAAGCTGCTCTGAAAGCATATTCCTAAATTGTATGTTGCTAGGCAACGTGGGTTTTGGTGGTAATCGTAGGCAGATTTGCTTCTGGTTAAAGGGTCGGTCCATTGTCAGAAAACACTGCAAATTTACTCCTTAGTTTTTTTTTTTATTTTACAAAATGGTTGGCTGAGCTAATACATTTAGAAGAAAAATATTTTTCATGTGGGTTAAATAGAGATTTGGAGGTTTTGGACACTTGTTTAGAAAAGTAGATGGCATTTCCAACTTACAAGATACAGCTTCTGTTGTCGATTAAATAGACGACACTGTAACAGCAGCAATAACACGTTTGCATTCTTCTAAATCTAATCATGCATGAGCTGACAGCCTCAGATAATTCATTAGGTACAGCAGTATGTTGCATCCACAACCCCAAAGACTTTTCCTTTGAATTAATAGCCCATGTGTAAATACAGATGGCATGCCCCCGCCCTCCTCACTATGTGATGCTTCGTGGAATACCCTTGAGCAGGACCCTGCCTTTATATGACTAACTGGGACTCACACCCCATCCCCCCACACTGGCACAGTCACCGTGTATGACATTGGAGGACTTCTTTACTTTCCACCCTGCAAAGTGTGTTTGCAGTTTGCGGACTCCTATCAGGCGACCTGGTCCCGGCTCGGGTCGGTTCTACTGCTCTGCGTGACACACTAGCCGCAATTGCCGTGATGGTGGGGGAGGGTCATGGCATATTAGTTCTGGAGATGGCAGATTATGTATTAGCGGGGTCCAGGTCAAAGCTACAGGCAGTTGTTACACTGAGTGAGGGATTAAGCAAGAGAGAGAGGGAGCGAAAGAGACACAGTCCTGCTACTGATAGATGATGATTGCTGGCTGCGCAGCGGGGAAGTGGAAACAGGGCGTTGACAGCTGTCAGTCAACCCTCCACGGTTAGCTGTCAAATCTCGCATCTTAACTTTGAGGGTCAAACATTGGCTCTAATCGGGGCTGACAGTCAAAGGTTGTTTTGGTTTTGTCGCTGGTCACTCCGGTCCTTGCACTCAGTGATTTTTATTCCTCAGTGCCGTGACCTTGAGTGATGTAGCCAGTGGATTAAACTGGGATGTTTTCAGAGCAACAAGGGATAGACATAGACATTATGTAAATTATGCCGTTGAATATTTCGTCCCGGCCATTTCAATATGTGAGATTCTGTTTTGACCTTCCTTCCTCCAAGTAAAAGTGCTATTAATTCTGTTCATAGGCAGCAGTAAGAGAGGGGCTGTTGTAGCACTTTCATGGCAACTCAGTTGGTTTGGTTCAAGTTGTTTGATAAAAAGAGAAAAAAAAAATCAGAGGTACAATCGTGTGTAAGAAGAGACATGAACTTTAGAACTTGAGAACCGTTTTCACATTACTTTACTTTGCCTATTCTACAGATTTTAACCCTCTGACACCCAAAATTAGCTGGTAGGTTTGAAAGGCATGTCATTTTTTAGTTTTATTTTTTTAATCGCCAAAATCACATCATTAATCAGAACCAGAAGCTGTACAAACTTAAAGAATCTCTGGATTTTTGACTCTCCAGTGGTTCTTGAAGGACTCATCTGTGATTATGAACTCTCACTACTTCTAGCCATGATTATGGTGTCAGGACTTTATTTTGCAGTGAAAAATGAGAAACACAATGTCCAGAAACTTGTTGGGGTTCAGCGGTTTAGGAATGTCTAAAATGCAGCTGTCTTATATCGATTGTTTTGCAGCACAGCTGACCCAATGAGATGAAATTATTTTCATTTAAACCAACCATATTGGGACTCAAAAACACACGAAAACCAGAGGAAAACTGTTTGCTTTAAAACATCTGACCACACAAATTAAAACTTTATGATAGCTTAAAATTACACATACATTTGTCCTATAGCGTGTCAATTAAGACAAAGTCA